TAAACGTATCAACGGAGAATACTTCAACTAGTTAGATATAAAATCGAATTCAAATGTTTTTAAAATTTTGTCTATTAATTATTCTCTGGTTAATGATTCTCTGATATGGGTTAATCTATGACACGGCAAAACTGATTTCGTTGGTGTTTTCAACGAAACGTAAAGTAATTTGACCTAAGTTTTTTTTTCCCTTCAAATTATCATTTTCTATCAGACAAAGAAGAATGTGTATATAAATCTTTTACTCCGATCTTAAAAGAAATTTTGTATACTACACCTGCGGTTTCCACCATGGGACCCGCGGCACACAAGTGGACCGTGTGTAGCGTATTAGTGAGCCACAGGATTAGTGAGTCATGAGTTAAAGTCAGACGTAGTCTCGTGAATCGAACTACCCCGTGACCGACTCTGAAACAGGGGATCTCATTTAAGTCAGTCCAGACCCCCTGGTGATCGATGAAGTTTTGAAAGGGGTCAATGATGATCAAGGGGTCCTTTGAGGGTCTATAAGCACTCAAAAGTTGATTTGAAAAAAATTCTTTCTAGGTAAAATGTTGCATTGAAAAGGCATATAATCCCTCCAGAAACGTAAATTGTTTATATTTACAAAAGAAACTAATATATTTGTACGGAAAGAAAAATTAACCGAGAAATAAAAAAATTACACAATTCAGTCGCTTTTTTATTTCTCGGTCAATTTTTTTCTTTCGGAACAAATATATTCATTTCTTTTGTAAATAATAAACAATCTACATGTTTCTGGAGTGTTTCTATGCATCTGCAATTAAATTTTTTGCCTAGGAAGCATTTTTTTAAACCAACTTTTGAGAGCTTATAGCGGCTTACCCATTCGGAATATACAAGTAGTTTATTAGACAAAATATGCTTTGCAAAATTGTCTTTATAGCTTATTTTCGAAGTTTTGACGTTTCTTCTCCGGACATCCTGTATAACTCTGTATACTACGTATATTACTCCTTATATACGTACGTATACGATAAAGTAAAAATTGTATCCCGTGGATAAAATTAGAGTATTGTTTGTTAAATGTTTTACAAAAACATTCAAAAGCTATCCACTGGCTGAAGAAGGGTCGTTTTATCGCTTCATCTTCGAAGTACATTATTATATTGCCTTTTGTGTCATTGCTTCAGGAGACACTACATTGGCCCGATTACTATTGAAATTCAAGAAACTTACGGAGTTAATCAGTTTGAATCAATGATCCTTGGAAAAGAGAACAGGTTGATCCTGCCAAAAAAATTGTAAACTTCACATCAATGAAAGAAAGGATTACGAAAATTACTTCATCACAATTGAATTACTGTTAATGACAAACGTCAGTTATTAACTCGCCACTTTGACGCTCCACGCTAGTTGTGCGACTTGTGTCCATTGTAGGAGTCCTTATTCCTTATTTTAAATATCTTGGCAGAAGCCACTCGACTATACTTCATTAGTTGCACTGTGTAAATGAAAGGTGTCTGTGAAAGACGTATTGGCAACGGAAGAAAAACAGTTTTCATTTAGCTACTGTATGGTTATTGGTAATACTTTCTTCATGTCCTCCTTTTAATTCGAATTTTCATGTTAGTTACCACGGCACTTGCGATATGAGCTACCTTGCTATCTAACTGGTTTCTTTACTCTGTGTTGGATTACCCAAAATGCTGTAATGTGTAGGCCTAAGTTGTCATAAAATTAAATAAAAAATAATTTTGTTTTTAATTAAAATATACGATCTATGAAATTTTCATTTCATCATTTGAACTACTTTGCGAACGAGAAAAATGTTCATTAAAACATTCGTTTCGAAACTTCTTTGGTTCGAGTTAAGAGAGAAAGCGCCTAGTATCTCGGACTTCTCACATCCGAAACTATGCATCACACTCCAGTGTACTGTGTAAAAAAGCCTCGAAATTTTATTCAGTTACTTACTCCAACCACGACCATTCATTCAGAGAAGTGTAAGAATGGAGTCACCACTTGTTTTCTGTATTGTATAAGTACATGAGCCCGAATCATGGCCACTTTGTGGGAGTAAACACCCTTTTACACACCTACGCTCGAATTGGAGTTTGCGTCACTTTCGGAATAAACAGCATCCCGATTCCAGTGATCGTGAACATACACGAGATTCGGAGATGTTAAGAGTATCACTAAAAACTGTGTAAAGGAAGACTTCATTGAAGAACAAAGAGAGATAAAAAGTGAAAACTCTAAATGAAGGAGATGCGACAGTTAACGTTATTTTTGGGAGAGAATAAAGAGTAACAATAGTATGTTATCACGGAAGTGATTCAGCATCTTAGAAAAAAAACTTTTTTTTTTTTGTCTTCTTCTACTTTAAGAGAGTACTTATTTTCTTTGCGTCAAGAGTCCAGGCAATTTATTCACCTATCACTGACTACCCCCGGAGGCGTTGGCCTGCACGACACGTCAGCTGCAAATCATACACCGTGTCCAGCCACGATGCGGCGCTCTCTCGGCGTCAGCGTCAGCCGGCCCGTGGGCGGGCGGACCAGGGCGGACGCGCCGGTCACAGTTAAACGATAGACGCGCACTCCACTGTAAGACATTCCCGCCCACCACGTGCTAGTTCCGCTTGCTTGCAACGCATCATTCGTAACACCATTCCACCCACAACTAGAATTATGATCAGGGTTATTGTGCGATCCGGCGTGCGTGACAATCAACAATTGGAGTTTCATTTCGTATTTTCATTTTTTTTTTTATCTTTAGTTTTGGGATGATTCAGAAGAATATGAAATCAAAATATTTGTGAGTATAAACCATTGCGAGCAAAAGAGTGCGTGTAGAAAATCGGTAATCTACTCTGGAAAAAAACAAAACAAAAAAAAAAACTCCGATTTGAGAACCCTTTGCGCTCAACGCGCCCTAAAATATCCTGGGGGTTGCAAAACTCGCTTCCCAAAATGGAGCTCTCCAAGCCGGGCGATCGATAGTCGCACAGCCAATATGGCAACAGCGCATTGGAATACTCTCCCTTTGCGAGGTACGAAAGTCGCTGATCAGTGGTATAATTACATCTGATCTGTTACCTGTAAATGAGAATGTGAAATATACACGGCAATAATAAATAACCCTCATGATTACTCCATTTCCATTATGAGGAATTCATACTTGCTATTGATATGATATTCACTACAATTCAATGGTTATAAAGGTTAATTTTAATATCAATGTTTGCTAAAATGATGTGTCCTTATTGCATCAAAAGCTAATAATTACTCTATATACGTAAAATAACCAGTTTATTGTTGTATATTGTAATGTATAGTATATTGTTTTTTGTATGAATATTAATAATGTACACAGGATAACACCCATTTTGAAATATATCGTTATTTACTCGAACAAGGAGCATACTGGAATAAAGATAAGTGTAAAAACGAAGCAATGGTGTTTTCCGGAATTGCATTCGGCAATGACCGCTCGGAGCTTGTATCATCATACATCATTGCGAAAGTATCATCACAATCATTTACAGTTATTTCAGAGAAAAAATTATTCAGGACTTTTATGTGTTCATTATTCCTTACCAATTCATAATCCTGGAAATATGGACGTAAAACAAGGTGTCGAAGTTGCACTAGAGTAGCGATTTTGGCCAGAAGCAATCGCAAACGACATTCTTCAGCGGGGCTTAAAGTATTTACATGATACGGATCTGACCACTCTAAGCCCGTGATCAGTGGAGCATTTTTATAAATGTCTGGCACTGAAACAAAATATACAGTGCTCGTTTTCATGAAGATATTGAAGTAAAACTGTAAGTAGATGAAGAATATTGTTATTACCAGTATCATGAATTATTTTACAGAACTGCGTATAAAAAATACGCCCATCGTACACGCGAAAATAATCCGCTAGCTGAGCTATCTCATTACTGCATAACCCAATTTTATCTTTTAATGGGCCGGCGAGTATGTTTACAAATTGAGATTCTGTAAATGCAAATAATCCAATTAGAATCTTAATTTAAAAAACACAGTTTCAAAAGAGATGAAGGGGTCACCTGAAATGAGACAATTTTTGTCGGGATCCAGTGGCCCGAAGTATGTCCATAAGTTTAATCCACTGCGAAAGACGGCTGCTCGAATTTTGTCGCATGTTCGCCACACATCTGATAGAAGGAATTTTGGCCCCCAACATGGTCTCTCACAATCCTTTTAACACAGTGTTACATATTAGTGTATCACTCTCTTATTAATAATTGCACATCGCTTTAGGATGTCCTCACCTTCATTCCCCCCGTCATTTTTCCCATCAGGATTCTACTAGTAGATATCTGGCATCAAACAGGTTAATGATTTTCAAATTATTTTTCTCAAAACCATTTCAATTGTAAGTTGCTAAGTAACGAAAGTATTTCCTTCTGAAGTAGGTCCCGCCTATACATATCTAGTACATTTCTTATGCGAGTACCGGTGGACATATTGGTTCATTCTTCTCGAGAAGTAACTTTGTTGGTTTAACTCATCACTACAATACAGGTATGTTACGATTATTTACTTTCATGGCGTTAAAATAATTGGAATTATTATTCCAGCATGTCAATGGTGAAAATTAACATTTGAACAGATACGCTGCTAAATACTTAAAGGGAAAAAACGAGATTTTCTGAAGTTTTCAATTCATGTCAGATCTAAAACTCACAAAAAAAATCGTCAGCAAATAAATGCGAAAGAAAACAATAAACTTTTTGAGTTTAATTAATTCACCGTGTTTGTAGGGAAAAAATGTAGTGCGTGATTGCTAGTACACAATAGCTGACGCGCCGTGCGATTTGGCGGTTTTTTTACTCATAAGGTTCAATTTCCTAGGTTGGAGCAACGGTTTTAACAACCGTAGAAACATCGACTTTGAGTCACGTAGGCTCGTTGACTAGCTTCGTTCATTGTGGTTGGTCGAGAATCCAGCGCGTCGATCTCCAAAGGCGCGCTCTCACTGGCTGACGGTGTCCGTGGTTGCGAGTTTATAAACCGACCGACGATCGAGACGCTTTCCCTACGCCTTGTCTCTTCATCGTCAGCAGTCGTTCTGGTTGGACGTGTTGTTACCTATCTCTGTAAACAATGGCAGAAAATCAGGAATATGAAATGGGAAATGGTGAATTTGAGCAAGATGGTGGTGATCAGAAATTTCAAACAGATGAGCAAATGAACGGAGAAGGCGATGGAGGAAATGAAACTGGCGGTGGCGGTGATGCGCCAGCCGATAGTGGAAGCGCTGAGGCACCCGGACGTGACGACGACAGGTAAAATAGTTTTTATTGAATATTTTGAATTACAAATTTCGAAATGTACAATAAAACCGGCTCAGGAAGCAATGGGGCGGTGGAAGTAACGTAAAATTGCTAATTACATTTTCTCGAATGGCGGTGTTAGATACGCGCGGTATATTGAATCCAAATCCATCCGGTAAAGTATTTTAACTTTAATATTGTAATTAAACGTTAATATTACTTTGGTGGCGGTATGTATTCTCGGTAAATTTTCTTAAAGAGATTTTGGAATTTTAGCATACATTTTTTGTTAACTGAAACGAACCACAAAATGGCCGTCCAGTGCACTGCATGCCAAATTTACGGTTTTATTGACATTACGAGTGCTGTTTACAGTTACGTTGAATTTAGCTACCCCTTTTGTGTAGCTGTTGAATTTGGATAATTGCAACCACTTCACTTCAGTCATTTTCCAATCAGTAAGAGGCACTTGTTTTAAGCTTATGTTGTATGTCGAATGGCAATAAATCCTTGTATTAAGTTCGATGGGGAAATGGATTCTAATTTATTTTCAGATACCCAGGCATTCCTGTACATTTTACAACGCAAATATTTATGGTTTAAGTGTTCTTTGTATCCACATAGCCTTGTATAATTACTTTAATCTCTTTCAGTGCCTTAAATGTAGCAATGCATAAATTGTCGGGCCTGATTGCATTGTCACCTTAGTGCTTGCCTTTACATATCAAACGATCCTTTGCCTAATACCTATTGGTGGTTGCAAATTATTCAATTTGATTGTTGGCAGTTACTCAATTGGTGTATCTATCTTGCAACTTTGACTGTATTTTGCTGTAATCATTTTCACGGATTGTACATTTATCGTGTTAACTGAATTTAAGGCTGAATTGCATTCCTAATTGCATGTTGACTTCATAGTCGGTTTTCAAATAAAAATTACAGAGTTGCTTTGTGGAAACGCCTGTCTCAGTCTCGGATTTTGCACGGCCAGTGGGAACATTTGTTGCCAGTTTGTCGAAGATTGTGATAATGTGTAATTGTTCAAATTGTGGTTTAATTTAAGTGCAATGTACTATATAGTATTTAAAGATAGTAATAAAACTGTAATGTTAAATTGGTCTATTGTAAATGTTGGTAGGTTAGTGCTGTGGGCATTGTTTTGAAAATTGTTTGCCTGGCAATGTCCAGTCATTTGTTAATAGATCAATGCAATGTCCTGAGGTTGGAGATTTTATGGAGGTTGTGGAGTCTCACTTTAATTTTCCTGGAGCGTACCTTGTAAAATTTAAATTAAAAATTTTGATAAAACAAATACTTTTCTAGTTTGTTTTTGCAGATTTTCAGAAGTTCTGATTATGTTCAGACGTAATTTCTTACTTTCATCTAAACTTAGTTGTCAAGTTTGATCAGTAATTTTAACGTCTGCCTCCAGTGTTGCCATTCAGAACAGTTTGCTTACAGATTCCTGAATCTTGAATTTTGGCTTCCCAGCTGTGGAGTAGTACTTTGTACAGTTCAGTCTTGTTCAGAGAGGCTAGTTTTAACTGTTTTTTCAAGTTTCTGTGAACTAACCTGCCTTCCTCTCCTTCAGGTGACACACGCTCATAAGGCGAGAAGCAAGTGAGCAGCCAGCAGCCTGCTGACCCATGGTATTTATTCCTGGGTTCCTTTCTTGTGGTCACAGTAAATGATTTTCATCAAGCATTTGGTTAATGGTCAAACTTAGGGCCGCTTACTTTTGTTTGATGGGCCATGTTAAAGTATTTGACCATAATCATCATTTTTGTTTGTTTACTGATTTGGGGAAATCATTTTGTTAAATCTTGTTCATGTTAACCTGCTTTAATGCCATATTTTGTCACCCAAGCCTTCATTTTAAACTCTTACAGATTTTTTCTGTTGCTCAAGATTTTTCCAGATGCCAATCGAACGTAATGACAGTTCAGTTCAGTTTGCTGCAGTTGAAAAGGGTGTATAGATTTAAGTACAGCAAATAATTCTTGTTGAGCATTCAATTGTCATTGCTCAGTTTCACTACCTTTGGTAGGAATATGCGTTTAGTGCTAAACTAATAATTTCCTTAATGTTTGCAGGAAATTGTTTGTTGGTGGATTGAGCTGGGAAACTACAGATAGTAAGTATTAATCCTTCTATTAGTTCAAAAGTTAAATTTTTTGTAGTGATGATTTTTAAGCCAGTTCTGCTACTGATTAGTTTTGAAGAAAATTTTGTTTCTGAGGTTACTTCAATTAATTGATAATTAAATTCAAGTTTTAGTAGTTTCTAAAGGAGTTTTTTAATTTCAGAGGAACTTAGAGAGCACTTTCAAACATATGGTGATATTGAAAGTATAAATGTCAAGACTGATCCCAACACTGGGCGATCACGAGGATTTGCATTTATTGTCTTTTCATCTGCAGAGTCTATAGACAAGGTAAAATTGTACTGTCTATGTGTTAAATGTACTGTAATGATTCATGATGACTAACTTAGGACACTTCTGAGATTCCATGATTCTTTAAGCTTCTGATATAAAATTAAAGGTGCTATAGACAGTTTTGGATTGTTCAGAGTTTAATTCATATTTTCTTCCAGGTCTTGTCTGCTGGTGACCACATAATAAATAACAAAAAGGTAGATCCCAAAAAAGCCAAGGCCAGGCATGGGAAAATATTTGTTGGTGGACTTGTTCCAGAATTGTCAGATGATGATATAAAGAACTTCTTCGCCCAGTATGGAACAGTAAGTGTTAAAAAATTTGAGATTTTGTTAAGGTTGTAAGCAAGGATTTAATTAATTTCTTATTTCAGATTGTAGATGTGGAGATGCCCTTCGACAAAACAAAGAACCAGCGAAAAGGCTTCTGTTTTATTACATTCGAGTCCGAACAAGTTGTTCAAGAACTCCTTAAGTCACCTAAGCAGAGTATTAATGGGAAAGAGGTAAATGATAAAACAAATACGCTTGGTTGGAATTTCAAAGTGAAATGCAAGTTTACAATTTTAAATTTGTTACAGGTTGATGTGAAGAAGGCCACCCCCAAACCAGACGGTATGGGAGGAATGAGAGGTGGCCGAGGTGCCAGGGGGGGCCGTGGTAGAGGGAGAGGAGGTAGGGGAACGCGAGGTGGAGGTAAGGGGGAACAGGACATTCCATATTCCAAAGTTTGGTGTGGCTCATGTAGTGTAGATAGCATGTGAAACATTGTCTTGCAGTGATACTTCTATATCCTTTCTCATTTCTATGTGATAACATACATGCAAATCAATAGGTGCTATTTCTATGTATGGTGTGGTAGTTATAATGAAATATCAATCTGGTTTTATTAGATGTTGATGTTCCCCTTTGCCTGTTGATCTATGGAGATGCAAGGGCAATCATAATCATCACTGGCTGCTGTCTAATATAACAATGGTTGATTTCAGGATATGGCGGCCAAGGCTGGGGAAACCAAGGAGGATATGGTGGCTACGGTGGATATGACCAAGGTGCATATTAGAATTATTTTGGGGTTGCTAGATATTTAATATTTTGTACAAGTCAGAACAAATTTTCATAGGTTGGATACATTCCTTGAGTAGTGGGAACTGTTTTTAGTACCTAGTTGTAGAGCACTCAATGTAAGTGTGTGTTTTTTCAGGATATGGTGGTTATGACTATTATGGAAGTGGATATGGAAACTATGGAGGATATGGTGGTTATGATTACTCAGGATATTCAGGATACGGCAATTATGGTAATTATTCCTGTATTTGGACACTTGCAGTTTTTTAAGGGTTTTGCTTGTGTGAAATTTTGTTTCTGCTTATCTTGTGTAATCTTCTGGCTTTGCTGGGAAGCATGTGGTTCCTCTGCCCTGTCCAGACCATAACCACCATTAGTTACTGTCCATTTTTCCTTAGAGTAGGGATAGGACCCAATCAGTTAAATGGCAAAAACTGCCATTAATTCAAAATTAATGCATGTTAAAATTAAAGTGGCTAATAGCATTGTTTAGAGTGCATGTTGAAGTGTTCTTGTGGAGTTAGTCTTCACATCTTAAATGGTGGAAGTCTTCTATGCACAAGCTTCTTGCATCCACTTAGTGGAGTCTTGTTCTTACAAAAGAGTGTACTTAGTATTGCTGACAAAGGTCTCGCCTAATGAAAATGCTGGTGAACTGTAAATTCATTTTACTTCAGGCATGCTTCATTATCTTGCAGTTTTCATAGTTGTATTCACAGGCTCTCCAGGATGGAAGATTAATTTTGTTAAATGTGATTGTTAGAAATTTTATTTACTGCAAATGATTATACATTTGTTTCGGAACGTGATTGTATTTTTAAGAACTTTAATGCGTAGTAGTTAGGTGATATATTAATATCATATTTTTTTACTCCAGACTACGGAGGCTATGGCAATAGTTACGATGGCGGATACAGTGGTGGAAGAGGTGGTGGCCGTGGGAAAGGTACAATGATTAATCATAATTGCCTATTCAAAACTTCTTCCTTTAGTAGAATTTTGGTGTTTAAATCATTAGCAGATATTAACAATGTTATATGTAGTTGTCCCAGATAAATTTAACATTCACTTGTTGTCTGCAAGTTTTGGCATCCTCTTTGGGATTTAGTTGGCAAAACAATTATAGATTTGGAGTTTGCAGACACCAAGGTTTTTCAAATTTCATTTTGTGGGAACAAATTACTCCGGGACTGGGAAGCATGTGGGGGCAGATTTCAAGCAGTACAGGCTAGAAATCCTGTTCATAGCATGCAGAAGGGGGGAAATTAAATTACATGAAAATTTCTGCATGGTAATTGTAAGGTGCAAGTTCAGGTTTGCCTTGAAGCCACATTAAAGTCTGGATATAATTTTCAATTAGCTGTGGTTGTGCTGAACTTGCATCTTGAACACTATATTTTGCATTATTTCTTCCATCAAACTCAGGATTTTGCTTTTTCCAGTGCTCTGATACTGTATGAATCACCATTAAGTTCATTTCCCTCATACTGCTTCAATGTAATGTCTTTGTTTGTGATACTGTCTTATTCAATTCATGGGTTTTGTGGAGGTGTAGAGGTGTTAGATCGTAATGTAAATGTTACGAGCCTTTCACAACTATGAAATTGCTGATACAAATCCAGTTGTACTTAATGGTGGTCATTAAGTCTAGTGAAATGGATTGAAACTGAAGATTTTAGATGTAGTAAAAAATAGAAAATTTCTTAAATTACAAACTGTTAATGTATTGTAAGGGTGGGTTAAGCTGATTGAGGCGGTTTGAATGTTGCAGGCAGTGCAGGTGGTGGTTACGGTGGTGGCAAGCAGAGGGGTGGGAGAAGCCAGGTACAGAGACATCAGCCGTACTAAGTCACTCTCTTCTCACATTTGTGTCATGTGTTTTTGTCTTGGTAAGTAAGAACAATGCATTGGCATGTTGCTGCATCAAATGAGCATTTTTATTTTGCTATTGTAACTTGCAGTATGAGTTTTGCATGAAAGTATTATTTTCACTGAAAGTTTTTTTCTTCCTTACAGCAGACGATTAGTTCTGTGTTCTCATCGCCAGCATCATCGTGTATCATTCCATTTCTCAAGATAAGAGGTACCTTCGTGGATTTTGATACAGTTTCAAGAAGAAACAGCTGTGTAAAAAGTGTATTGACAAAGTGAAGCTGTGTGAAGTTTATATGAACAAAGGTGCAATGTTTTCATGAACACTGAACTGTGTTGAATGTATTTAGTTTAAAACAAGCAAAGTGAAACAATGGTCAAACTTTGCAGCCTCATGATCCATCATCAGTTTCCGGAGTTGATTAATAAAATGTCGTCTAGTTTTAAATAAGTCCTATGTTTTTAATTCACCTGCCTACAATGTGGGACCTTCATGTTCTTTACAAAAAAGTAATAAAAGAAAATTTATATATAACTACTCTTACAATTTTTTCTACCAAGTATTCCTAAATCCTACCCCATACTACCTCATACTAATATATATAAAAATAAATATATATATAGTTATACTACTTAGTTTAAGGACTATCCTGCAGGGCACTGAAGGTAAGAAAGATACGAAAATACAAAAAAATTAAAATAAAAATTAGTGGCTGAAGAACCGCTCAGAGCGGACATGTTTAGGAAAGCATGGCCAAGATGTAGGGGTTCTCACAAGCACGTTAAGGGATTTTAATCTCGAGGCGGAGTCTCGTGGTGTCCGGTACGAGATCAGTCTAGTGCGCATCTTTCTGCGCATGCATACATGTGCTGACACCAGAGAGCGTTCAGCCCTCGCAAGACTAGTTCTACTCATATTTGTGATTTGCTTATTGTACGTTTTAGGATTTTGGAACTCTTGTAGAATTTTATTCAGTTCGGCACCAACGTTAGAGCAGTTCGTTTCGTTAAGTAGTTCTGGTAAACTGAACCTTTCCGCTCCCATATAGGGTTGGGTGTGCTGCTTGGTCGTAGAGAAGAAACAGTACAGGCGATATTTTTTAAAAAAATTGAGCAGTCTAAAAGCTTTGAGGATTAGATATAATATTAACATAAAATTTTGAGGTGAGTACAACTGAGTGATACAATCCTTCTTACATATCTTGGTGCTTTTTTGCCCGCCAATCGCCATGCCATTGTAATCATGTGTTCTATTGTTCTTAGTTCTGTCGCGTACAAAGAAGTGTGCTAGCTTCGTATTGTTTCAAGTTTTTTACTTGTACTTAAATCGCTAATTTTCAGTAGGTCGTGGTGTGTTACAATTTGCAGTAGCGAAGGTAATGTGTATGATAGAAATAAAAGTTAACCTCACATGATCGTGGTTTGTAACATCGTTAGTTTTTCATGGCCTGCTGTACAGTTTAATGTCTTTCGTTGTTGGCTACGTTGCTGAGAATAACTAAACGAGAAGTATACTTGCGGCGACGATTTTGTGTCTCTTTTGTATCGTGTATTCATAAGAAGTTATGGGATAATTTGGTTGGTTTCTTTTGTTCCAGGCCTGCCGATCTTTATTATTTGCGTATAAAAAAAGTTCTGTGTAATTTTCTTTATCAAACCAATTAGGAAATGGTCATGGAAGCTCCCCCAAATCCCCAAATGGTAAAGGAAGCTCCTCCTAACCCACAATGTGTGGGTCGTGAATTTGTGCGCCAATACTACACTTTGCTGAATGCATGCCCAGCTCATCTACACAGGTACGTTGAAATTATTATTTCAATATCGACAATAGGTTAGGTTTTCTCTCACCCGGTTTAATGTTACAGAATTGATGCTAAACAATGTGTGTAGTTTACTTCTGTGTGTAGATGTAATGGTCTATGCTATAAGAATGATGGTTCATTGTTACTTTTATCTAGTGTAAAAACTACCAGTTTCGTACTATTTTGTATAAAAGTCATAGTGTTGTTAGTGTATTCTGTAATGATGTTTGCCAACAAGATGAGTAGCTGCGTCAACTGTTCTTGCTTAATAATCTAATCATACATGTCAGAAGATATCAGTTACTACAAGAACTTTGTAGTATTATCGTTGTGATGTTATGGCTGAAAGTTTGTAAAAATGCCAAGCAATTTAATCTGATTATAATAATTGTATTCTTTATTTTATTAATGAAATGTGTTTATTTTAGTTTGATTAATTGGAGAAGGTGTTCTTCTGCAATCATTTTCTATCTAAAAATTATTCAAGAAATAAAGCTATATAATTTGGTATTTTGAGAATTAAGCAAGAAGGAAAATATTCAAATTCTTTTCCTGAAGTGTTTGCTTTGATTTCACGGAAAATGTACTACTAAAGTAGTACATTTTGTTACATCATGTGAATTTACTCTATGGAACAAATTTTAATTATTTTTTTTGTGTATGGAGAAAAATAGAGTATTATAAATTTTTGCACTTTCATAATCTAATTTAATATTATTTTCTTTGCAGATTTTATAACAACCATTCTTCATTTGTGCATGGCGGGCTGGATGCTCCCAACCGTGAAACGAAACCTGTTGTTGGCCAAAAGCAAATTCATCAAAAAATTCAGCAGTTAAATTTCAGGGATTGTCATGCTAAAATCAGCCAAGTGGACTCTCAAGCCACGTTGGGAAATGGTGTGGTGGTGCAGGTAATTTTTCTTTGTTATAAAGTGGTAGTGTTTTAAATTGAACTTTTGTATATGTTATTGTTGAAGATATTTTTTCATTGTAATTTAATATTGTGTAGTAATGTACTATTTAAATTATCTTAGGTTACTGGAGAATTGTCTAATTGTGGACAGCCAATGCGAAGGTTCACTCAAACATTTGTTTTGGCCGCTCAATCTCCAAAGCAGTATTATGTGCATAATGATATTTTCCGCTACCAGGTTAGTGAAGACCCTTAAACGAGTCAAAACAAATAATACTGAAGAATACAAACTAACAATGTTAATACAACTACCATAATCATCATACATATACTACAAATAATAATCATAATCATAATAATTTATTTTATTATGTAGGATATAATGTTCAGTGATGAAGAAGTTGAACAAGATTCTGGACATTCAGCGGCTGAGGAGGATGTTGAGCCTGAACATGCTCCTAAACCTGAGGCCATTGTTCCTGTGAGTGTTCTTTTACTTAACTACAGCGGAATAAATTTTTTGTGCCTCGTTATTTCATGATCTTATATCAAAAATATTAGTGCAACAATTAAAACCAGTAGTTTTATTTTTTGTTTTTAAAAATTTAAAATTGCAAAGACTTGATATTTTGATTTCATATAATTTAAAAATTGACACATCCATTTGTTATAATGTTCAAAGAATTGTCTGCACTGAAACGTTTGGTTTGTGTATGGAGGGTTGTTTGTTTAAAATAAATTCTGAGCAGTTTTGAATGAAGTAGTAAACAAAGGTTTCCTTTTTAGGTCAATTCTTAGTTTCTTTTGAGTTTTGTTTATTTCTTATGTACTGTGTGTGTTTCATGTATTGTTTAATATTTCATAATTGCATAAGGGAAATTTAGAGTATGAGTGCTTTCCTAATTTATATTTTCTGCAATTTTTTAAGAGAATGGACTGACATATAATATTAAAACTCTTTGATTTTTTAATAATAATATTGCTAATACTACTACTACTAATAATAATAAAGTGTTGTGTTAGTTAATAAATTTAAGTATGTGAGGTTAAATACAACACTACAAGGGTCTGTGGTGAAACAGAAATCTGTCTCCCCCCCTTTTTGTTTTGTTTCCAGTTATTATTAGTCACCAAAAAAATTATTGTAAAACTATTTTAGTGCAGTTTTAGTTTGAAACGTCTGTTTTGTTCACCCCCAGTTTCTTGCAATGTGAGTGCACTTTGGATGTAAAGGTGACTGGTGGGCTAAGGAAACTTTCTGAGGCTGTCCAATTCTTCCCTATGTATGCCATACAAAATAAACCCAATACCAGAAATTATTAGTCTAGTTTGTTTCGGAAGTTAAAATGTTGCATATGAACCACATAGGACTGTATCACAAAAAAGGATATCAAGCTGGTTTTCGACTCACACACACAGACCATTTCCATGTTAATGTGTTTTATTCAACCATATTTAGTGGAATTCCTTAATGAATATCAACACAATGGTGAGGTGGGGGCTTTGCGGCTGACAAGACAAATTTACAATTATAGTTTTATACTTACATGTTGCACTGTATTCAAATATTTTTAGAAGGAATGATAATCGTTTAATATCTCACTCATGCTGTAAACGACTTTAAATTAAAGAATTAAAAATTTGTTTCAAATTCAGCAATCTGGAGAAATTCATTTGTAAAAATAAAGTCAGCTGGATCCATAGCACTCCTCCCCTGAGAAATATTCTGGTTGTGACACTGTTCAAATATTCTGGTTGTGACACTTCTGGAATTTATTTATTTATTTCCTTTATTTTATTCTTTTTAGCAACAAAAATAAAATTGAAGTAATAATTTTGTAGATAAAGTCTATTTCATAAAATATTTGAATGATTGAGAATTATTTGATAACATTTGACATACAAGATTTCTAAGAGACAAAGGACGTACAGGTTTAGATTTTGTGTTTCTCATTTTTTTCTGTTAAGTTATATTAACATTGTTGTATATGTGATCTGAAATACATGACTTCGTCATGTCAACAGTTATTTTGACACTCAGGCATGCCAGTCTATATTGGACGTAACCTGTAGAAATGATTCACAATTATTTGTTAAATATTGGAATCTTATCCTGGGGTGTCTCACTATTACTTTATCATTTTTTGTTAGAAGAGAAAGTATTGGACCTGGTAATGAAATAGTGGATAAATCTTGTGCCAATATGCTACAGTAAATTATGTTCTTGAACATGTGGTGTAGTCAGAATCATTGTTTTGTGGGTCCTTGGTACTGAAAAATCAATTGACAGCAATGTATCTGCCGGCATGTGCTCAATGCTAGTGCCTCAACTGTACAGTTCATTTTCTTCAAAATTGATATTCCCCAATCAATTCAAGTTAACTCTAGGCCTCTTCAATTTGAAGCTAATAATTTTGATTTTGTGGGGTACTTGATTTAAAACCTCAACATTTTCAAAAGTTTCTAAAAAAATTAATTAAATAAAGAGTCAACAAAAGAGATTGGTTCAGGTCTCATTTTCTTTGTTATCAGGATCTTGTTGTTTTTTGTTTGACATCTTCTTACATCTACCATAGAGGTTTATTCCGTAATGAAATCTATTTTGGACAGATATTGTAAAGGTCAATAAAATAGATCATTGAATAGTTTTCACATAAATGTTCGTGAATTATAGGCAATTTTAAAGAATTTTTCTTCTCTCAAAAATTGCTCCAAATTTTTTCTTTTAATTTTGTTCTTGTGTGTATGAAATCACTGAAAAATAATTTGTGCTAGTGTCATTTCCAGCAAACACTGTATTTTTGAATATTGCAAGTCTTTGACAAAATCAGCTCTTTAAAAAGTTCCATGTTACTGTAATCTATGTTACATGTTTTGAAAATACAAGGTAGTTTTTGTGTAATTTGTGCTTGATATTTATGAAAATTGTATTGAAAAACATTTTCTAAATAGTCACCGCATATATTTTCTTCAAATTTCTTCCACGGATAGAACAAGGAACTCTTAAAAGAAACATTGCAGATTTCCTTTTTGTGGCACTCAGAATTTTTGAAAATTTGTAAATTAAAATCAATGAGAGAAAGAGTGTGCTGTTAGTTATTAATTTTTTTTTTCTTTCTTTATTTTTTTCTTCTTTCAGCCAAGAAACTTCACAAGAAATCATTTTATTTATGTTGTTTGTATTTAAGAAATTTGTATCTTGTATTTAAAGAAATATTGTTTATATAGGTTAGTCTTAGATTCAACATTGGCGTATTCAGAGTTTAATTGAATGTGTGATAAAAGTGAACACAGTGGGTTGTTTGATGTTTTGTGATTGACGTGCTATTCATTTGCATTCCATAAGCTCAGTCTCACTTTTAATTCCCCTAAAAGAGAATTTGAAAATACTGGGATTGTTTTTGAGATGTATTAATTCTTATAATATCCATTTTACTGATTGGCTTACTAGCTGGACCATGCTCATATTTCTAAATCTTACTATATCTGTGTTTCAAAAGTGAAAATAGCTTCATTCTGGATCCCAATATCAAATGTCATACCCTTGTGCTGAGTTTCAGCACTATAGATTTTAATTCTCCATGTAAGTGAACATATTGTCACTTAAGTTTTTAAAATTAAATTGTACAGAAAATGAAATGGTCACGTTAATTTTATTTTTGAATGTTTCCTCTATATCTATTTCTTCAATTTAATTTTATAAATATTATAATTTCTGATTACCTATGCTATAGAGAGGATGCCCAGATGAGCTAGCCCCTTCAGGGACATGAAAAATCAGTTTCAAGGTCCTAGTTCACATATCTTCATTCCTTAACCTATTATAAAAATACAGGAGATATCATAAGACTAACTGGCATTATACTGCCAAAACTACCCTAACTCTGTAACAGCCCTTCTTAAATGACGCTCCCAATACCTAATCAACTGGTCCTACAGCTTATCTGGCTGCTTAAATAACGTATTTTGCAAAGCAATGCAGTGTTTTTACATTATGTTGCTATTGAAACATTAGGTCTGAAGTTTGTTATTCAGTCTACTCTCTGAACATTTAATATCAAGTTGGAAACAATTACAGGCAGTAAGTTCAATTAGAGTGAATTTCCTTCATCTGGGAAATTTGGAACTCCAACTTTTATTCGGACATTTGCAGTTTTGTTTTCTCCCTTTCCACTGATAAGTTCTCATGGCCTTTAAGATAAGCTTAATTTTCTATAACACAGTCCAAAAAAGCATGATTATCTTCCAGAAGTATGAACACGCCGAGCAATGTGATTCTTGATATTTCTGTTTCACTACGTATGTTTCTAAAGGAGCTGAAGTGTAGAAACAAATGGAGGGTTGAGAATTATAAAGATACTATCTGACATTTTGATAAAATTGAGATTACCATGATTTTGTGTTGTATTTTGTGCAAAGAATATGACCTGCCATTTTGTTTTCATCTATTTCACCTCTAAAACCCCTAAACGTGAAAAAGATGATCTTGAACCAAAATATGCCTTATGCCAAAATATTTGAAGGGCACTATCCATTTACATGGTCCCACAACAAGTACGCTCTGCAGGACTTTAGGCACACAATCTTTGCTGCAGCCAATAGGAAGCATGAATTATTTTTGTTAATAAACAGGAAATTGTCTGTCAATTAAAATCAATTACATTTGTTGAGTGAGGCCACAGATTTTCTGATATGATTTTAAAAAACTGTTTGAGATAACTCAAAATCACATAATATTAAATGTTATTTTTTTGGGGGGGGGGTACTCAAAGTTTGTTCTGTGACATTTTTAAGACTTGGATTTTTCCATTTTCAACTAATTCTATATAAAAATTAGCAAAAGCTGAGGATTTGAAAGAATGAAACAAGTGGTGCTTTTCGAAAAATTGATCATGGCCTTATTTCAAAATCTATATTTAAGGAACCAATTTATTTATGGGGAAATATCTATCTTCATAGTTGTAGTTGTAGGAAGAAAAAATTTTGAATTTTTGCAATTTTTGAAAAATTGTTTTTCAATGAAAATGTGACTTGCACAATTTTCTTGAATGTCCTTCACACTATCCAACAATAAAATTTAATCAAAAACAATTGAGGCATTTTTTTGAAAATTTTAAAAATGTCCCAGGGGTTTTATGTTAGGTCCTCCCCTGAAGGGGGGGGTATCGGTCAAGTCAATGGCAGAATATCAATTGTGGAGATCATCATCATCTGGAAAGTTTAGCTGCTAGCATTGTTCACAGATAGGAGGGCGCAATAAAAAGGTTTTGCCATCTATACATTTTTTGGTATCAAGAGCCACAAAACATGAAATCTGGCTACACCAAGTGTTAAGGGGATTTTTTCTAAAATAAGCAACTGAATTTATCCACTTTTTAGTTACCAAGGCCCTGTGATCAGAATTTTTCTGCCGAAAATTCAAACCTAAATTTGAAAAACTTGAAGGAACAAGGTTACAATAAACATTGTTAAACCGGCAAG